CTGCCGCCCTGCTGGCCGCCGCCACGCCGCTGTGCACCGTGCATGTCCGCGAACATGGCGTCCATCTCCTGGGGCCCTCCCCGCCCTCTCTCCTCCTCTTCCTGCTCCTCGTCCTCCACCTTCTGTTCCTCCTCATCCCTCCTTCTCCTCCTGCGTCCTCCCTCCTCCTCCTCCTCCTCCTCCTCCTCCTCCTCCTCCTCCCTCCGCTGCTCGTCCCATCTCCCTCTCCTCCTCAGTCCGCAGGAAGGTCAGATCCGCTGGCTGGCAGACGCCGCCCCATCTCCTGCGCGAACCCTTCCCCCGCGCCCCCTCCTGCCTTATCCCTCCGGGGTAAGGCTCGGTCGGAGCCGAGCATTGGCACTCAACGACGCTTCGTGCCGAGCCCGAAGGACAGCTTGCTGGCTGGTGACGCTGCCGCGCTTCAGGTTCGTCGCCACGACGCGGAGGTAACAAACAACAAGTCCCCTCCAACCTCTTGCCTGATACCCTGATACCTCACCTTTCACTCCTCATTCCGCACTCCACCCCGCCCACTTCTCTGCCGCATCCGGCTCCCGGCCCTCAGCCCTCTGCCCGTCCTCCTCCTCCTCCTCCTCCGACCTCCTCCTCCTCCTCCTCCCCCGCCTCGTCCTGCACCACAGCCTCCTTCTTTACCTCCTCGTCGTCGTTCTCCGCCTCATCCTCTTACCCCGCCTGTCGAAAGCAAAGCCACACCATCGCTCCCGCAATGCTGCGCCCTGCTACTTCGCCCTCGCCGGAAGGAAAGGATGAATCGTGGGGCGCACGTGAATATGAAGAGGAGGGGGCGAGGTGCCGAGGGGGGGAGGGGAAGGAAGGGAGGAAGGGATGATGGGGGGAGGGGGGAAGGGGGTAGAGGACGGAGGAGGACCGAGGACAATATGCAGTCGACGGAGGAGGAGGAGGAGGAGGAGGAGGAGGAGGTGGTGATGGACCCACACATGCGCGACCGACCTTGCAATTCTGGGAACCCTGTCGGAAACGCCCGGTGGTGTTCCAACTGTTGAACGCTATCTTCAGAAACGCCATCAACACGAAGGGTGGAACCATCTCGCTGGCCTGCAACAGGGTGATGGAAGCGGTCTGGAGTTTTTGCAGGAGTGTTGGAGGGGGCCCACTTCTTCATCCAGGGGGTAGTGACCTGAGAGATAAGATTAATTTCGAAGTCGTTAGCGATGTGCTTCTCAAGAATTTTCTGAACGTGTTCCTGCTGAGGTCCCTTCGGAGCTTGGCGATGTACTTGCAGCCCTGGAAATCCTGAAGGGTGTGCACAAGCAGAGAGTCCTAGAAGAAGGGAGGGACCGGATAGGCCAATACGAAATCGTCACCACCGAGAGTGGCCTCCAGGTGGTCAACCAACGTCGGGAACATATCAACGTTGTGGATAACATGATGGCATCAGACGGCTACGATACGAATACGAACACCTCCAGCCTGCACATAGAAATCGATCTCCTTGAGCCTGTAAAACAGCGCTGGCGGGAACAAATGCCTCGGAGCAAAAGTGCAAACCTGCAGGGCCTCTCTGCCGGCTCTACTCGCGGCGGAAGTGGGCCGAACGTCCTGGGCGACATGGCCTGCACAGGATAGGGCACACTGGCTGTGGAGGAGGAGGAGGAGGAGGAGGAGGAGGAGGAGGAGGAGGGGAGGAGGAGGAGGAGGAGGAGGAGGAGGAGGAGGAGGAGGGTAAAGATGACGAGGCCAGAGGCGGCCCTCCCGTCCACCCCTCCGCGAAGGGGTCGCGGCCCCCGAAGAACTGCTCGAAGAGGTTGAACGCGTCAACCCCGCCGCCGCCTGCGGGGAGGAGACGGGGGCCCGCCGCCGGGGGAGGAGGAGGCCCGCCCCCCGACAGCAGGGCGCGCGGGAGCGACGCGAAGGCAGAGCAGACGGCCCAGACCCCTTCGCGCGGAGAAAACAACTCACGACGGAGTCTCGTGTGAGCGTGCTCTGATTCAGCGTTTCGACACTGGGCGGAAGTGGGGGGGGGACACCTGGAGAGCGCGTCGCGGGAGGCGAAGGGAGGCGAAGGGAGACACCTGGAGAGCGCGTCGCGGGAGGCACGGTGTGCGAAGGGGCTGGCGGGGCCATGGGGGAGGATTGTGATAGTTGTTTTTGGCGTTTCGACATTGGGCGGATGGGGGGGGGGGGTCTGGCTCCAGACCTCTGCTCTTACTGCGGCTGCTCGCGACGGTGCGCCGGAGGGGGGGAGGCTCCACCTGCCCCCGAGACGGGCGCCAACGACAGCCAAGATCTACTCCATTGGGTGTGTGTGTGTGTGTGTGTGTGTGTCTGAGTGTGCGACGAGGGGCATGACCATGAGTGTGCTCCGACGGTTCTGGAACTGTAGCAAGTCTTATTCGGGAAAACTCTCATAAAGAAAGCGACCTGACATCGAGAGACAGCAGAGAGAACCATTGGGGGGGAGGGGGGAGGGGGGGGGGAGGTCGTGAGGGCCCGCGCCGATCGGCAAAAAATGTAACGAATGCGACAAAACGATCGCCTTATGGTACTTCGGGCCCGAGCACTCGGCGGGCCCCGGCAGAGCGTCCAAAAGTGGCTCAGGACGAACTGTCCATCGCTCGGACGTCCATTCCCTGTGCCTTTTTCGATATCGTGCGTGTTTGTTTTTTTTGTTGTTGCCAAATGATGAAGGATGCTCCTCGATGGTCCTCGCCGAAGGAAAAATGCACACGTCCGAGCGATGCCAAGCGAAGAGCCGGCCCCAGGGAGCGGGTCGAGACCCCCATCCAGGGGCCCGCGCGGCAGCAACAGCCACGACGTCCGGAGTCTGGGGAGGATCGATGGTCGGCAGTGTCTTGAAATGGTTGCCGCTCGGTCCTGGAACTTCCAGGGGCCTTCGGAGAGTGGGGCGGGGGACGAGGAGGAGGCGGGAGGGAGTGCAGGGGGATGACGGGAGGAACAGGGAAGGAGGCGGATGGGGGAGAGGTTGTGGGAAAAGAGGGGAGGGGACGGATGAGAAGGGGGGAAGCGGAGGTGGAGGACCATCCTGCCCCCCCTCCCCCCTCCCCTCGTATCATCCTCTCCTCCTCCCCCGGCAACGCGCCAGCGCCACTCCCATAAAAGACGTAGTCAGGCACGAGCGGGCGGCAGTGACATCGTCACAACACGCACGGCCCGGCGTATTCCAAGAGCCATCAAGGAGATGTTCTGGTCCCACCCCGTCCGCTCATGAAGCCTCCCAGATTTTCCCAAGGCCTCCGCGCGGCTCCCGGGGCCTCTTCGGAGCCTCTCGGGGCCGCCCTCGAGCCCTACGGACGTCGAACAAAGCACCAACTGCAACACTGACCTAGCATCCGGTGGTTCGCGTACAGCCGACCCGTTTCACCGACGTGCACGCTTCAGGAATCCCACCAGCCCTTTGGGCGTGAGTGGTTTAGAGAGCCCGCTCTGTTCTCAACCCCCTTCTTCCCCTTCGGGGAGGGGTTTACCCCTCCCCATACCGCCTCCCCCTGGGCCTGGAGAGGGGCTCCCGCGGGTCGCCAGGGGGGTCTTTTTCGACTCCTGGGAGGGTCAAAAAACGACGACCCTCACGAGGATTGTGGCCCCGACGGGGGGGCCGAGTTTGGCCCCTCTCCTCTTCTTTGAATCCAAAATCATTGATTTTACTACGGTTTGGGCCCCATTTTGGCCTCCTGAGGGGGCCGCGCTCATCTTCCTTCATAGCAAAATCATTGATTTTACAAAGGTTTTGGGCTCATTTTGTCCTTCTCAGGGGGCAGCGCTCCTTTGCGCTTCAGAGGAGGTCGCAAGAGGCCCCAAGATGGCCCCAAGAGGCCCCCAGGAGCCTCCCAAGAGGCCTCCAAGAGGCCCCCAAGAGGCCCCCAAGAGGCCCCAAGAGGCCTCCAAGAGGTCCCCAAGAGGCCCCCAAGAGGCCCCAAGAGGCCCCAAGAGGCCCCCAAGAGGCCCCCAAGAGGCCCCCAAGAGGCCCCCAAGAGGCCCCAAGAGGCTCCAAGAGGCCCCCAAGAGGCCCCACGAGGAGCCCGAACGACTCACACCAGGACGAGGGGCCCGAACGACTCACACCACGCAGAGCCCGAACGACTCACACCACAAGGAGGGCCCGAACGACTCACACCAGGACGAGGCGCCCGAACGACTCACACCACGAGGAGCCCGAATGACTCACACCACGACGCGGGCCCGAACGAGTCACACCAGGAGGAGGGGCCCGAACGACTCACACCAGGATGAGGGGCCCGAACAACTCACACCACGAGAAGCCCGAACGACTCACACCAGGACGAAGAGCCCGAACGACTCACACCACGAAGAGCCCGAACGACTCACACCAGGAAGAGGGCCCGAACGACTCACACCAGGACGAGGACTCACACGAACGACTCACACACACACCCGAGGACACCCGAACGGACCCTCACACACAAGGAACGAACGACTCACACTCACACCGAGGACCGAACGACTCACATACAAGGGGCCCGAACGACTCACACCAGGACGAGGGGCACGAACGACAGCCCGAACGACTCACACTCAAGGAAGAGGACCCCCAACGACTCACGACCCGAAACACCCCGAACGACTCACACCAAGACCCGAACGACTCACACCACGAGGAGCCCGAACGACTCACACTCAAGGAGGGGCCCGAACGACTCACACCAGGACGAGGGACCCGAACGACTCACACCACGAGGAGCCCGAACGACTCACACCACGACGAGGGCCCCGAACGACTCACACCACGAGGAGCCCGAACGAGTCACACCAGGAGGAGGGGCCCGAACGACTCACACCAGGACGAGGGGCCCGAACAACTCACACCACGAGAAGCCCGAACGACTCACACCAGGACGAAGAGCCCGAACGACTCACACCACGAAGAGCCCGAACGACTCACACCAGGAAGAAGGGCCCGAACGACTCACACCAGGACGAGAAACCCCAAACGACTCAAATCACGAGGAGCGCTTTCTCTCCCTCCTCCTCCGCCTCGTCCTTCTCCCGCTCCCCCCACAAGGAGGATGTACAAGGAGGCGGGAGGAAGGAGGAACAGGGGAGATATGCGGGGCCAAGCGGACACACGCCTGAAAAACACGACTGTCGGCATGCTTCGCGAGAGTTGCTGCTGTGAGATGGGCTGGTGGGGATACGCGAAGCGTAAAGAATTAAGATGTTTGTTTACATCTTCTGTCTTCTCCTCATCTTGAGGCTTCAAAGCTGCTCGGGAGTTGAAGCAGGGAAGACGAGAGGGAGATGAGAAGAACGGTGCAGGAGGAAAGATGAGGAGGGAGAAGGATGAGAAAACGAGCAGAGGAAGCAGAGGAGGGCCGCGGCCATTTCGGGAGGCAGGTCGCTGCTGCACGCAATCTCCCCGAACAGCGCTTGCACTAGTATTGGGCCCAAGAGTCGAGCCAATGGGTGGGGCTCCGGGCTTCCGCCTGCTGCCCGCCCCCGCCCGCCTCGTGCCAGCCGCGTGCCGGGATCCTGCCTCGCCAGCCTCTCCTCGAGGGCCGTCGGCGACGCGAACGAACGAACGAAGCCGCGCCCTGACGGCGCTTTGGCAGACAGATGGAAGACACTGATCCCATGCGTCGGGAGCGGCCAAGAGGGGGGTGTCCAAGAGGGGGGGTTGCAAATCATGACTGGCGGCATGTGCGCGGCCCGGCGGGGGGGCCAGGGCCGTAATGAAACAAGAAGAGGCGCCATGAGATCTGGGGAAACATCATGACCCCCGCCATGATATCCATCCCCCCCCCTAGTCATCACCCCCCTCTTTTCCGCCCCCGTCCCATGCGTGCCGGCATGCCGAGCAAACCGGGAAGTTGCAGTGCCTCGGGGGGCCGTCGTGCCAGCTGCGTGCTCTGGCTGTGCTGGCTGCGTGCTCCGCCCAGTTGTGCCCGCCTGCTCCCCCGCCGCGTGCCCGCTCTCCGTGCGCGGGCTGCGTCTCGGCAGGTCCCTCTCGCCCAAGTGCCCGTCCCCGCCAGCCTCGTGCGCGCTCCGTGCCCCGGGGCTGGGTCTTCGGTGCCTCCGCCTCCTCCTCCTCCTCCTCCTCCTCCTCCGCCTCCTCCTCCTCCGCCTCCTACTCCTCTTCCTCCTCCTCCTTTTGCTCTTCCGGTGCCCGTCCGTGCCCGCCGTGTGCCCGCTCCGCGGCTTCTGCTGGCGCTGTCGGGGTTTTCCCGCCCGCTGCCCGCCCATCCCCGCCTCGTGCCTGCCCTGCTGGATGGCGATGGGGACACTTTCCACAGCTATCTTGTGTAGGACGGGTGGAGAAGGGAGGATGAGGAGGTCCTCCTCCTCCTCCCCCTCCTCCTCCTCCTACATATGGTAGTGGTGGTGGAAAATGGGCCCATCAGATGGCTCGCGCTCCAGGCTGCGCACGAAACGTGCACGGCATGCACAGGCTGCGCGTCACGGCTCTCGCGCCGGGGTGTTGCACGACGCAGCTTGCGCCGCACAGGTTGCGCCCCACGGCTGGCACCAAGAAGCCTGCACCACGCAGGTTGCACTGCGCTGCACCGCCTGCACCACACGTGTGGCACCACACGTCTTGCATTCCATAGACTGCACCCTTCAGTTTGCACAACATCTCCACCACGTGGATCGTGCCTCAGATACGGTGCAATAACAACTGTGCATCGAGTGCAAGAGCACGCTATTTTGGGATTGACGCTGGCAAACTCTTGCTAACTTAACCATTCCAAGAGGAGGGGACGATGTCCCAGACGAGGGATTGCTTAAGATGAAGAGGAGAAGGGGAACAGGGAAGGGCAAGGGGGGGCAAGCATTCGCAACGGTCAACGACTTGCGCAGGCACAACAACGACAAAATAGAAGTTGAGACGCCTCGGCTGAAACCACCGAAATCATGACCCCCACCGTTGCCGTTCACCGCGTCCTTGCCCCCTGCGTCGTACATGCTTCTCTTGCCAGGGTCGCCAAGCACTGCGTAAGCTTCCTGAGCAGCACCCAGGCGTAAGACAGACGACACACCGACGTGCGATATGCACACCCCCACACACATTGTACGTTTCCTCCGGCGCGTCGATGATCTGCGGCCTGCGGTTCGCAAAAATACGGGGGCAGGCACAGCTCCTCCTCAATTAGCGACCTCATTGACTCATGTCAATTCGTTCGACACTGTCACAAGCACACGCACACGCACACACACACACTCACACACACAACGCACACAACACACACACACACACAACACACACAACACACACACACGCACACCACACCCACACCCACACCACACACACATGCACGCGCACACACACACACATGCACGCGCACACACATAGACACACAGAGACACAAACACACACAGAGACGCAAACACACGCACACACACACACACACTCACCCACACACACACACTCACACTCGCAATGCCCGCTAGCCGTCCTGCCCCTGCTTTCGCCCTGCCCGCCGATGACTTCAGAGGCAACAGATCATGGACCATACCCCGGTGCGCGTTCTCTTCCGACGCTGGCGC